CCAAAAAAAAGAGGGAACATGGAACACAAAATATGCAAAAAGATCACTATTAATCTGAGTTAATTAAATGATCCTTGATACACGGCGCCTATTCTTCCAAGAAAAGCACGCACCTCTAGTCCTTGGTGGGTAAATTAAGGTTTAAAATACTACTCCTTTGTTTTCCTACATAGTCAGTTTTAAGACTGATATCATATTAGGTATCAGAACGCACTCCACTCCTACTTAAGACTAGTATTACACGCGTCGGAATTTTTGGCCAGACCTCAAATTCCTCCGGCTATCCTCCTTGGGGTAAAGATCCTTGGAAACGCCTGTGAAAAAAAATATCGTGCAAAAAGTGGCCCTCTCTGCGGAGTTCAAGCTTGAAACACCCGACAGCTGCGTTTCCACTTCAAGTGCTAATTGTGGGATGGAAAAACGAAATCGTCTTCTGAGAATGCATTCGACACCAGAGGCGGGCTGAACGACTTAAGGCCTCGGAGAAGGCCGTCGGAGATGCCGTCTAGAAAGGTTCTTGAACCGAGGCAAAGCAGCACACTTGACCCGCGTTATATTCTTTGGAGCGGTCAAGTAGTTGGGATTCTCGGCGACCGGGGTGGGATTGTCCATGAAATGCAACACCGAGAACTCATCTGGAATAATGCATCTCCCCACGCGTTCCAGACGAGTCTAAAACGCGAAATTTTGGAATCTAGTTCAACAAAATAATAAGCAATTCAATCCTTTCACCGGCACTTTGGCTTGAGTAAGAAAAATAGTGAAAATAAGAACAGAAACAAAACTGCTCATGAAAGGTGTCTCCTTCTTCGACTGAATAATATCACGTACTCCGGATCTTAATATCCAGTGCCATCCAGGGTTTGGAACTAGGCTAAAGGGGAACCATTGTTTTTTACCCTCCAGAGTTTCCCGACCAGAAACATGTTCGGAAAGCAGGGAAAGACGAGGTTTTATAGTACAACTTACAAGTCAGGGTGTTATTTGTCACACCAGGACGCAACAGTTTCTTCTGCTGGCAAATAGAGTCATGCTAAATAGATTAATTTACCTTAATAGACCCTTTTCACTGACCCGAAAATGATAATGTATTCAAATGAGGCGGTAGTGTAAGGCGGGCCCACACATTTGGGTCATTATTTCTCAATTTGCCCCGGATTTCTCGCTTTTCTTGAGAGAAGCCGCTAAAATCGTCATTAGTAACATTATCCAGCATAATTGGGTGTTTCTTTTTTTTGGGGGGGGGAGGGGTGCAATAAATATAGACTTGAAAACATGTTTTCGTCCCGTGCGCATCATGTCGAGGAAAATTAGCTCCTTTCCGCACGAGTGAAAAAAATGCTGTTTGATTCGGGATAACCATCCATCAAATTTTGGGCCGAATCACGGGCTGAATCAGGGGCTAGCTGCGCTGGCGCAAGCAATGTCACGCGGTATACGTCACTAGCCCGTGATGCATGATTATATTAATTTTTATTCATGTTAACTTGAACCCTAAAGTTTCTGGAGACTGAATAATGGGTTGATTTAAGAATTATTGATATTGATATCATTGAATAAATATAAGTATCTGTATAGCGATTCTTGATGTTGCTATGAAGTTATTTGAAGGTTTGATAATGACACGAAGTTTGCATTTTGACATTTAAAATTTACCCTGAATTTCGCTCGAAGAAGCAATGTTTCCGAGTAGCAAAATGGATTCCTGGGCAGTTATTAAATGTAGACTTGCTCTTTCTAAAGCCGTTGAGCAATATTTGTTATTTAGAATACGGTTGAATGATTTGTTTATTAAATGGCTGGGAGTTGAGGGACCAAGTCCGAGACATTTAATTACCGACTAACAGGGACGCCTTGATGGCTACCATGCACAAGGGCGGACTAATCATCTTGACTGATGGAGGATGTAGGACACCCCATTACCCGGTGTTTCCAAAGATCGAGCCAGGTTTTAGACGGGCATTGACTATATTGGTTGCAGAAAGAAAAAAAGAAGGAAAAAGTGCCACCAGCTCACCAAAACTAGGGATTGTTTATATACTAGTCCCAACCCTTGTCAGTAAGCTATATTTCCTGGAATACATTTTCAGTTAATTCGGTGTCCGTTGCGTAGTACCCCTATAGATATATGCTTAAACACGCAACAGACACTAAACTGACTGAAAACGCGGTTGTGAAGGTCTGATTAGATTTGGAAGAAAGAAAAACGAGATCGTGGGGTCAATTAGTACGGTTCTATTAACTGAAATTGGTAACCCACTTCTCATTAACAAACAGTAAATTTTAACCAACGTTATTTTCATTAAAGTACAGAAATTAATTGTATGGGCCTGTATATCTGCTGATGGAGGGGTAGGCGTATTACTTTGCAGACAATCGGAAGTCGACGAAGCGGATAATGGCAAACCTCTATTCTTCAATTAGGCACATTATTCGCCCCAATGGCATAACTATAAGGTGGGGGACGTGGGGCACAAAACGTTGCTAGAATTTATTGATATCTTGCTGTTGTAAATTTTCTTTTCTTTGTAGATTCGTTGTCGTGTTGGTACATGGCAGTAAGCCAATGAGCAACTCTTCCTCACATAAAAGTTTTCAGTGAGCAAATTTTGTGTTCACAATTTGCACAGAAAACCCTTAAACTAAACAGTGGCTTCCTGAAATGACATCATAGCAACAGCGCCCTCAGTTGTTTTCCAATTTTATATGTTTAAAGAAGTGCACTTTTCAGTACAATTAACCAAAGAGGGATGTTACATATTTTTCTTACGTTTAAATAGGAGTAGAAAGTTGCACAACATGTGTTCCTAAGAAAAATTCATCACATAAACCCTTTAAACCATTTCCCTAATAATTCAACAGCGTTAATATGCCAGACGGTGCCGACGTGCAATTTTCACGTTACCCACTTCGAGAAAAAAAAGCACGCATCTAATCATTTTGGACAAGGTTTATGTTGTCAATACATCAGATCAAAATGTACTTTTAAAAATGACAGCCCTCATTTCTTCGCACTGAAAAAAAAATGAGGGGGAGGGAGGGGTGCAGAAGGTGGCAAGATAAACGGCAGGGCTGCACTCTTAGTGTGCCACACTGCTTACAGAATATACCTCCGGATTTCAAAGTGCACTTGAGCGTTACTGGGAAACGGTCCACCTTACTTCCCCCCCCCCCCCCCTTTACACTTTTCTCCGTCTCGAGCCAGCAATGCCACACGGTCAGCTGGTTTTACACCATATGCGTGCATAACGTGAGGGGCGGGAATTTCCACCCACCCTACACCCACGTGCTGGCGACGCTTTCTCTTCAATAATAAAGTCAACAACCATCACAATTCTGAAGCAGTAAACCAACAGTTTGACGTTAATTATTTAATTGGCAACGGAGGGAGAAGAGGGCCAGGTCCAGAAACGATCGGCACTGGCCGAGGGCTCGAGTTATTAATCGTGGGTCACTTTTCAATCATAGTCGAAAAGTGCACGAACCTTCAATTCGGGGAAGGAGACTCTTGTAACTATCACACTATGGAGGATCTCACCTTTTTGGTCAAAGTAATTGACAACACAATGATATGGTGAGTGGGCATGTATAAGTAATTCTTCATCATCACTCTATCAACTCAACTATTTCAGTAAGGTCATTATATAATTACCTGTCTATAATCTGGTGGCGTAAGAGGAAGGGACGGGGTCCACTCCACGGGAACACGACCGCCGTGAGGCATAGGTCCACTTCCTTGTGCCCACTCACAGAAATGTGGGAATCCATTGAGTTTCTCCGAGAAAAACAAATCTCTAAAAAGGACCCAAATGGAGGTTGTTGCACAATCCACTCAAGTATAGCCGAAGGTTGCCATTGTAGCCTCTACAATGGCAACTTCGAACCCCACTGTTAAAGGATCATTTTGTGTACATTCTTGTTTTTCTTTGAAGCAACAAAATTGCTCAAAATCTGAAGTAGGGTGCATAACAACAATTTCAGCTAAGTGGATATTGAGAAAATAGTTGTGCCTTTGATGATACAAGCATGGCATTTGGCACACAGTCAGAGTATGTCATGAGAAAGATATTTGGCTATAGGGTCATCGCCGCAGATTTGTTCTTTGTAAAAAGTAGAATAACAAGCAATTTTCAAAAATTTTCAAAATGCCGCCATTGCTGGCTGTTATTATACCTATATTTTTTTCAAAGGACAAATCTGCGATGGCCCTATAGCCAAATATCTTTTTAAAGACATACTCTGTGTGCCAAATGCCATGCTTGTGTCATCAAAGGCTCAATCCGCCGTTGTCTGCCGAACTAAAACAAAGAAAACGTAGGCCTATGCAACATTCTTTTGGGTCTCTTAGGCTTGATTCCGTTATTGATGAAATCATCTTCATGGTTAGTTTTCTTCGAAACGATACCATTTCAGGTTGAATAACTTCACACGAGTATATTTATTTGATACCAGTCCTATATTAACTTTCCGTCATTAAATCGGCTGGTACTTTTCCGGGTGATTGCAAATAACCCTGCGTATAAACAGGAGTACATTGGATACATCGCGTGATGCTAGCCTTCCCTCATGCCGGCAGTATTATACCAGTAATGGAAAGACTGGAACAAAAGGTGAAAATGCTTGACTGAGTGATTCGGTTGGTGGGCTGTAATGACGACTAATTGTCCTGGCGGTAGGCACAGGATATTTGCACAGGTTGTTAAAAACCAATCAATTAGTCGGACTGCTACACATGCACGAGCGCCCGTTAAAAATCGTGAGCTCACTTTACGCAGCTAAAGTACATGTACTTTCATCTGTTATTTTCTTCACTGTTGTGTTGCAGCTTCATTTTGTATGACTGCTAATGGATTTTGGGGAGTCTATTGTTTGATTAATAAAAAAAACCCAGATAAACTTTATTAACGCATGAAACCCCCTCCACAAAATATGAAATAATTCGGGAGAAGTATCCCAAATTTCTACAGAATTTCAAATTCAAATCACACAGACAAAAAACCTCTTTGAGACCTCGATTAAGACTCGGTTTATTCTCATAAAATGGCAACTATGCATCCATTGTTCCCTATTCTTCCTTCAAAAATTCCTACCTAGTATGTACATAAGGGGTATTACTCATTACTAAGAATTTCTTTTTAGTTTTTTTTACACAATGCAACATCGAGAAAAATACTTTTTTAAGTGGAAAAAAGGTTTAAAATGGTATAATCTTTGGAGAAAAGGTCTCTCCACGAAAAAGTACAAGTTCGCCTAATCAACCTAGTTTTTTTTTTTAATTTACAAAATTCCCTGCATGTTTTAGAAATGGGTTACTTTAGATTTCATTCATGATGACCTTAGGCCAGTTTCATAGAGCTGCGGTTAGCAGAAAATAAATGTTGCTTAGCGGATTTGTCCGTCAACAAACATCAAAGCAAAACACTGTGCAGGGCATGCTGGCTGATTTTGCTAAGTAATTTTGTTTGCGCTTAACAAAATTTAACTGCGTAACAGTTTCACGAAACCGATCATATAAGTAGATCTAAAATGGTTTTTTTTTCAAATTTTTTTGTTAATGAGGAGCAAAAATCATTTTTTCTTTTTTTTAAAGCACAATTAATTACTTTTTTAACAAAACCTCTCTCACGATGTGCTTTACAAAATCTTACAACACAGGCTTTGCAGTGGTACAGGCTATAAGAACAAAATGCAACATTCTAATAGAAAGTAAAAATACCAGATTAAAATGGTGACTTTAAAAAACAAAACACCTGACGGGTCACGTGACTTGACAGTCAAATCACATGATACAACTGAGTTGTTAAACACCGAGTACACTTCTAATGGAGACCACCTGAAGATAAGATTTGAGTTCCTAGATATACACCTCTAACGGGTACTTGTGAAAAAAAAAGAGTAAATGGATAAGGCTAAGACTATGGCCGAGACCGTTGAAAACCTGAAGTTTGCTTGAAACACACCAAGACTTCCACTCGTATGTGTGCTCATTCTCCGACACCGAGCTATTTACACCCCCCCCCCCCCAGCACAAAATTGAGGACACATACTTTACACTGTTGTGGACACTAATACGTCTATAAGGCCGAATCCAAAGTACTTGGTTACGGCTGAAAATATAACACAGTTCTATGCTTAGTGGCTGCAGCCGCTTCAATAGGCGTGTGTGCAATATCTAGCTATAGCCAAGTAATTGGGACACGGCTTTACATCATATCGTTAGATCGATCCTTTAGGCTCCGCCCATTTCGTATTTGGGTTGGAACACGTGCCTCTCCATTGCCAAACTATATGTTTCAGCCATGCGCATCATATTTTCTTGCATGCATGCCAGACATTTGTGCACGCATGTCAGACATAAATAACGGCAGACAAAATAATCAAGGGTTGTTTTTTTTTTTAGATTGGTCTACTTGCAAGCAGACACTTGATGCAGAATCATCTGGTTGAAACCAGTCACCACACACAGCACCAGCGATATTGGATTAATTACTAGAATTAAGCCTACACATTTATAGGCACATGATTAGGATGAACTGTTAAGGTATCTGGTTAAACAAACAATGCTGTTATAAAAGCTAAAAATATTCAATCACAACGGTGAGCGTAATCACGTACTTGACTCGTAAAAAAAAATCGATTTCAAATAAAAACTGCTATTTCTTATTGTTTAATTAAGCATTGTGTACAAATCAACCAATGTTGTTTTTTAAGAAAGCAAATAAGATAACATACTTAATATATTAAAATCAGAAAAGATAAATACACACCATCAAGTTTCTTTGCTATGGGCTCCATGCGTGAACAAGTGAGGGTACTTTTGATCATTTCTTGAGAGCCCAGTAGCTGGGAAACTCTGTATACGCCTATTGGTTCGCATAGCATCTTCCCATGAGCATCAGGCATCATAGACCATGCCTTCGAATGTCTCCCCCGGTGGTCTCCCCAAACTCTCCCTATCTTACTATTGAGGGGGGTACTTGTGCAAGGAGCCCCTTGGCAACAGAATGATCTTCAATATGAGACAGGTTCGTTGCCGTTGAAATATGCTTTTACATCTGTATATATAACAATGACTTAGTTCTCCTTACATTCAATACATTACATTGGCACTCGTTCTGCACATTATTTACTTGTTAATACAAAAACTTGTACGTTTACTTTGAACACTACAGAAATGGATCACGGGCCTCTACTATAAAGAGACTGTTTGTGTGTATTGTAGTCTATTTATAACATGGAATTTGCATTGGGTGACGTGAATTCAATATTGGGTTTGCCCATTTACCAGAAGACCCCTGCTGGAGTCCGACCCAAGTAAGCTTGCCAACATTATGAAATGTATCGGTGAAGGGCAGATAGTGGAGTAGCCCTTTTTGGCATCATAACGTTTTACAGAAACACCCATAATAGCTTAGAAAATGTTTCTAAATCAGTGGGTTCTGAAAAGTCTAATCTAAAACGTACCTCTTTTTTTTTCACAATCGACTGAAGCCCCAAAATCCAGTTCTGTAGTTGATTATATCTAAGTATACAATGTATTTACACAGGCAATATTTTGCCCCTTTCTTCACACACTTTAAAGTCTTGCAAAGAAATTCCGCTTGGAAAAACCAGTGCATGTCATTTCAAGGGTAATTTGGTTTAAAAAATATCTAACTTCTTTACCCTCGTGTTCATAAAAACAATACGATATTTCTGTGTGAAGTGTGGTTTATACAAGGAACCACTCAAACATTCTGAAAAACAAATATTCACGGGAAAATTTTGAAACAAAGTACACTTGTCTATGACCTTAATTTATCACAAACATTTTGGCTTTAGCCAGCACAAGTACTTAATTAACTCCATGAAATATACGAAGGCAAAACCTTCTTTGTTGGAGTGTCCAAGGGCTTAAATAACTTTCCTGTGCAAGGAACTTTGAAGTTGAAAGACCCAGAGACATAAGAACCGGCCCTTTCATTAACCCTAACGATCCCATCCAGTCAAACTCCAACACCAGGGTTTGTTGGAATATGTTGGAGTGAGGACTGCACTAGTAAACTGATTATGATTTACATGGGGTCAGGCATACCACCATAATCAGAGTCCAACAGTTTGGGTGTTGAGTTACCATATGGTGTTGGAATTTGCAGGTGTGAGGAAGGTTCCTAGTAAAACACTCAAGGGGGTTAGGGTTAAAGAAGGTTCATCCAGGAAAGTGCTCATATAACTGGAAAACAGATTTACAGTAACTGAAGGTAGCATGAGGTAAAATGGTGGGGAAAAATAACTAACTTGAGACAATGGGAGAGGGGAGGGTTACAAACAGTGTTACACACAAGTCCCTCACAAGTCCTCACAAGTCATCACAAGTCCATCACAAGTCTTCATAAGCTATCACAAGTCCAGCACAAGCTATCCCGTCCCAACTCCAGTCACAAGCTATTACGATGAACTGGGACAAAGACGATAGTTGCTATTCTTTCCTTTGTTGGGGTAAAAGTAGAGATATTGCGATCACCCCATCCTTGATGAAGAGGTTCTTCATCGAGTCTCTCCAGGATGCTTTCAGATTAGGCAATGTATAGCACTTACCCCCACCGGTACCCTTTTGGGGTACAGAGGCAAGCAATACTTGTGCCTGTCTTTGTTCCTTAGTAGCCTTGGAGTTGCTTTTGGCCTTGTCATGGACGACTTGTGATGGAATTTGGATGGACTTCACTTTGATGGACTTGTGATGGACTCGACTCTGACAAACTTCTGAAAGGAGGTTTGAGCCTTCAAATCTTGACTCTTTAAGGAAAAGGGCATTGGGAACAGGGAGACGTTGACTACCTTCAAAGGGTAGGCAGTGCCTGGTGAGCATGTCTCGACATGCCGAGTCAGGGTCAAGAGGGAACGGGGGTCAAAACTTTAAACAATCTTGAGGGAGGAGGTCGGCTAGGCTGAGGGTAATCATGACTTGACCGGCTGCTCTTTCTGGACTCGCCTCTTCATCAGGAGAGGGTTGGAGGCGTCGCTCATGTCCTTGATCTTGATCTGGTCGTAGTCTACCCTCATCGTGGCCAGGGCATTCGTCATCTCATCCTGTAGAGGGGAGAAAGAGCCGCATGGCAATGGTGAGAACAGGACGTGCTATGTCATGAAATGGAGTTGTAGCAGCAAGGGGTGGGGGATGATTTTTGGATCACAGACACAGAGAAGCCTTAAAATGTTCATTAGTTGTCTCGCAACTATTTTTTTAAAGAGTGTTCTATAAGGTTGTCTCAAGAAATGACTAAAAAATTCTCGTAGTCATCACGTCCCCCTACATTGATAAAACAACCTTGTACAATATGGGTTAAAGAAGAAAGAAAAAAATACCGACATGCTTTGGTAATACAGGATTGAATATCTTGAATTCCGTCTAATCGATGACCTAAAACATATTCCAAAACTACGGTTGAGCCATTTGTTCTTGCTGTCATCAACGAACACTGAAACAACTGAAACAAGTACATATTGTTAATCTTTTGCTTAGAAACACCCCAAGCTAAGGAAATCGTGTCCCCCCCCCCCTTCTCTTCAACAGGATTTCTGTGACTCTTTGGAACTTACTACAGAGGCAGAGTTTTTTTTCCTGAACTTATTTCGCATACTCACATTCAGGTCTTCCCACTGGTCTTTCTCCTCCTTCATGACTTGAACGGAGCACAGCGGTGTCTCGGGTACTTCATTGTATTTCTACGAAAATACAGGAACACAAATATTACAATGGAAAGGGTCTCACTTTGACAAAGTTACCAAAGAAAGGAAAGTCTACTAACAGGTTTCTTTCTCAGGGGACTCTGTGCAAAATACAGTCACAATGGTAAAAATGTAAAATGTTCCAGTTACTGAAGGACATGTATGTTCCATTGCTCCCCTCAATGCTCAGCTGCATTCTTCCTGATGACGTCATGGGTTTGTGCTCATTCAGCAGTAAATAAAATGCCTGTACACCAAACCACCTGTGCACACAAGCCAGTGTGTGCACTCGATGTGTCCTGAGGTTGAAACAGGTGGCAAGGGAAGCTGTGACACGCAATTTGCAAGGCGTTTGCAAGCTTTACTTTGAGACAACACACATTCTTAGAAACTTGCCAGGCGACCATTCTTGACCAATTAAATTATCTGGACAGTATAAAACATGGGGTGGCTTTGCATTGATCGACTGATCAATGGTTGAACGCAGACTGCTTTACAGATGGAGGCACACAGGCAACTTGATTTGCTTGAGCAACTGGTGAACACACCCAGTCACATCCATACTTGTTCTTTAAAGGGCGCTGTTTAAGATGACTACAGGTCGGAATTCTTATTTCTGTGCAGCTCTTAGTTTTGAAATCCCAACAAATCTTCGTCTACATTGATCATCAGTTCTAAATCTCAAGTGTATTCTCTTATTGATCATCCATGGACTATTCTGGTGATATTTTTTTGTGCTCTCCAGATTGAATGCTGGGTTTTGGATCACATTTTTGTCTGAGAACTTCGAGTTACATACTACAAGTACACTCATACACAAATCATATGATTGGGACAGTGCATGCAGATGGCATCAACAACTTGTATGCAGAGGGCCTTGTGAGTACGAACTGTTGGTCATCGTAATCCTCTAAATTTGGCTTCTTCAAGTCCGTTCAAACCAGGGACCTGTGCCCAAGGACATAATAGTACCGTAGGCCACTTCATTTGTATCCTGCATACGAATTTGCATACGCACAATAGGACACCTGTGATGGCTTCATCGATTACCATTCAATCAGTGCTTGATGAGTTATCTGCCAGCTCAGATGCTGACTTCGCCAATAAACCTCAACAAGTGTACCAGTATGACAAGACCAAAATTACGGAATTTATTCATGGCCAGTCAGCTGATGGCTGTCACATCCCCTAGCGTCTTATTAGTCTTTGTGATGCTCTCCACACTGAAATGTGTAACAGCTTTCCGGAATTTGAGGGAATTGAATTGTACGCCAAACGGAAGTTTTTCCAGCTCACCAAAGATATCTATATCCTCGGGTATGCCGTTGAGACAAAAATTGTAAGGACAGTCGGTATTCCACACAACTCAGTCAAAATTTTCTTCACACAGAAAATCTACTCTTTTGTGTAGTAGTGATATACTGTAGTAGTGATATACAGGGCGAGTGGAAAAAAACCCAAAAAACAACATATGTCTGGGCCATTGTTTAGTGAAGTTCTGCATACTATGTAGCACTTTCAAAATCTAGGATATGAAAGCCCAATTCATAAGCTTTCTTTTAGTACAAGAATCATTCAAATCACTCATGTACTTTTCAAGTTACAGAATTTTAAACACAAACACAAAAAAGGTCCACAAAAAAGTGTGCGTTCTTTCAGCAAAACGAAAACAATTCACACACATCCCTATGGGATTTGTTTTCGTTTTGCTGAAGAACACTTACCTTTTTGTGACCCACTGACAGAATTTCAAAACTGTGGTTGTGTTTAAAATTCTGTAACTTGAAAATTACATGAGTGATCTGAATGATTCTTCACTGAAAGAAAGCTTATGAATTGGGCTTTTACTTTATATCCTAGATTTTGAAAGTGCTACGTGCAGAACTTCACTAAAACAATGGTCCGGACTTTTTTTTATTTGTTTTTACTCACCCTGTGGTTTCTTCACAGAATGTGATATGATTCTATATGAAGGATTCGCTTACCCTGACCCATGTGTGGTTCATGAACTCCGTGATGGTCAGCCGGTCAGCGGGCTCTGTCTTGAGCAGTTGGTTGATGAGGCTCTTGGCCTCCTGTGACACCTTGTCCCATTCCGGCTTGGGGAACTCGTACTGACCGTTGCGGATCCGGCGCTTCATGCCGGGGGAAATGGCCAGGCCGTGGTTGCTGTAGAATGGTGGGAAGCCGCATAGCCTGCAGAAGATCCAAAAAGTCCGAGTGTGGATAATTTAAAAATGAACTCTCTCAGTTTTTGAATTTCTACGGGCAACTGTTATGTCCGTGACAGAGCCATGATATCTAATGATTTAGAGAAATGATAAAAAAAATCCTAGTCTGTAATCTCCTTGACCATTACTTCATCATTTTCAAATATTTTGCAGCCCAACAGTAATTCAGACAGATCTGTATGTGTGTACAAGCTTCAGGCTGCAAATGCCCAAAACAAGAAAAAAAGTACATTTTTGCCACAATAAAATGTTGAAACTGAAATTGTAAAAAAAAACCAAATTTGCCATAGAGCATGGACGGTATATCTTAAGCCTAGAACAAAGACTATAAAAAAGAACAAGGTAAAATAAGATACCAAAAACCAATCATTTTTACTCAAAAAGAACCCAAGTCAGGCTTTACAAGTATGGGACTGGTGGAATTAACCACCTTGCTGTGAAAGCCAATAATCTATCTGCAATTTCCGAAGACATGCATGCATGCAACACAGAGTCCTTTCAAGCCCAGTACACCGTATGGTACAGTCTAATCAGACCTGGGATGAATTCACTCAATCACAGAGGCAACAGTGTTAATTGCTTGTCTGGGGGGGGGGGGGGGGGGCGGAGGGCTGACTATAGTCAAGTACTGCATCTATGTTTTAAAATTCCTCCCGGTCTTTCAAGCAAGAGAACAAGTCTTTCGTATTAAGTCAACCACCGTGTAAATTGCGTCCGCATGCCCATTTCAATTACCTACGATGCGGTTAACAGTCGGCTGAATCTGATTGCTATTGGCAAGATGACACTGTTGAATCCTCCTTGAATTCAAAGCAAGTGGATTTTGGAGAAATTAAAGCCCACTAGAATTAGCCAGGCTACTTGAGTCGCCAGGTTACTTGTGTGCTTCATGAAGAGTGGGGATATTTGAAATTCACGCACCGACTCACTCAACGAGGGTAATTATGTACAAGATCATTTGCTTTTCATGCATTTTGTTAGTGTTTCCAATACTAACACCAATGAAATTCTGAAGAATGTACAAAACCTAACCTGTTGAAGTTTCAGCTCAGTGGATATTACAATTATTATGAAAACAATGCAAAACCATGCACAACCTTTTGACCACGAAACAAGAAACGTGATTTTATCAATAGCGCTCAGTCAAACGTCTGATAGTTGGAAATCACCAACATTTTTTGACAGCAGTCAGACGGAAACATTTCATGGGGTGGTAAGTACAAGCAGTACGAAAGAGAAAACTGAAGAAATTTAAATATTCTTTTACAATCCTTGATTAGATTCATCTGATTGTGGATGATGTATGATTCAAGAAGAAAGTGTTATTTTTACACAATCAAACTTACGTTTTTCTTGACCTTTCGAGCAACATCGCTTCCCTTCATCAGAAGTTGTGATGAAGGGCAACGATGTTGCTCGAAACGTCAAGAAAAAACGTAAGTTTGATTGTGTAAAAATAACACGTTCTTCTTGAATTCTTCTTTTACAACTGTTGGAAATTCCAAACTTAATTGCTAGTGACACTTTCGTTAATTAATGCAAATTCAGAGTAGGTTTAAAAAAGTCTGTTGGGCTATTTTCTGTAAACAAAATAAATGTGGCACACTTGATGACAGTGAAACAGATGTCCTTCACACTGTTCTAATGGTTGATATGGATATAGAATAAGACCAATCATCAATGGTAAATTGATAAATATAGAAACAATTGCTTAATTATGGTTTGCAATCTGCTGCAATAATATGCACAAGATTAAAAAAAAACCTCAAAAATATACGTACAATGTCATAATGGAGAGTAAATAGAATGCAACTAAAGACTTTAAAAGATGACCATGCAAACACAAGAGGGTGCTATCACAGTTTAGTGAAGACTTTAAAAGATGACCATGCAAACAAAAGAGGGCGCTATCACAGTTTAGTGGACTACTGTTGCCTATCCTAGATGTTTACGAAAGCTGGCTTCTTCTCCAGCTGTGGCTTCTGCCTCCACCTTCACTATTTCAGTACCACAAGGCCAATGGTTTGTGTACTGTCATTGATTTCTTGCAATTCTTGGGCTGTAGATGAAGCCAAACCAGGGTCGGAGCCACGGTTTCGAAAACCCCACAGATTGACCAATGATAGTGATCGATTTGTGTAAACTGCATTTACAAAAGGATTTTTTTCATTGTTGTACTTACAATATGTACATGATGACTCCTAGCGACCACATGTCACAGCTTTTGTCATACTTCTCTGGCCCAAGAACCTCAGGGGCTGTTAAAAAAAAAAAGGAAGACATGTGTCAACATTTGTAAAAGGAAATAAACTGGCAAAGGCAAATTCAAACTCTCTGGTCATTTCAGTAAAGGTACAATTTCTTCAAACTGGCTTTCTGTGGGGCTCTTGCCATCACAGCATACACTGTGATGTGGCTCACAAAAATATTTTGGATATCTGTAAAAAAAAAAAAGGAAGTAATAATTATGTTGTAATACAATTATAAAAACCAAGCAAGTAAGTCCATGTAATTTTTGAGTTATAGGCCGATAACTTGCATTTTGAAAACTTTGAGAAGGGGAAATTCTTTTAAAGCCTTTGTACAAATGGACTCTTGTCAGATTCCTAAGATGGAAACTATTGGATTAGTAATTCACAATTACAACGCATAAGTGGATTTGATCAAGGTTTTTTTTTTCACTTTTTCTTTGCCAGGAAAATTTGGAGACCATTTAAAAACAGAAACTTAACTGCAAGATGGAATCAAAATCTATTCCGAAAATGGTAAAGTCGCAAAATGTGCTTTGAAAAAAAATAAGAATAAGTAGTGTGTCACGAGCCAATATGGCCCATCAGGCTGGTGTTATCTCCGGTTTCAGTGGCATGAAATGTCTGAGAATATTTCTAATCCGCCTGGATGGGATGCTAGTCCATTGCAGGTTACTCCCCAGCTAATGCCTGTACCCATTTATACTCCTGGGTGGAGAGAGGCAAGTGGGGGTGAAGTGGCTTGCCCAAGGACACAACATATGGCCAGCAGCTGGATTTGACACCTGACCCTCTGATAACAAACCCTAAAAATTCAAACAAACTTCCCCATAACTTGACTTGACAAAACCGACCAGGAGCTTTTTTTTTTTTACTCACCCACGTAGTAAGGCGTGTAGCATGGTGTCTGGAGCGTGGCCGTAGTGGTCATCTTGGCAAAGCCAAAGTCGGTCAGCTTGAGCACCGTGTTCTTGCTCTTGTCCTTGTACAGCAGGTTCTCGGGCTTCAGGTCCCGATGGGCAATGTTCATGGCGTGGAGGTGCTGGATGGCAAGGCCAATGTTGCGGACGATCTCCGCTGCCTCTGTGGGGTGATTTAAAAGGAAAAAATATGGTAACAGTGAGGGAAATAAGGTACAGAAACTGCTTGGACAACATGAACTAGCTTTAATCTTTTTTGAGCTGTAATGTTTCCAATCTATCACTCACTTAGAATGCACTTATGGTACAAAATTGACAGCACTTATCTGTTTTGTCCTGGACAAATAATATAGGGTCCATATTTTTATCATTCACAATGATAAAAATCAGCATAATTATATCACAATTTAAACCATAAATTTAACCATAACTTTGTGAGTAGGCCACGGATTGCCATCTACAACCTCAAAACAATGCCTAAAGCCCTTCTTATATAAACTGAAAGCACCCAACAGCAAACTGAAAGCGAACATTACTGCAACATTTAGCAATGTTATAAAACAACACCATCACGTCATACAAAAATCAGGAAAACTGGTATCATCTGTTTTTTTCATTACAACAATTTTATTCTGCACTTCTCTGCCATTAAAGACAAACGAAAGTAGTTCACTGTTTTTTTTAAAAACACCATGAACTTTGTTACTGGGAAAAAAAATCCCCTAATGAACCACATTCCCTTAATACCCCGCTTAACACTTCCTCAAAGTTTCCCACGGACAGAAATAGAAACACTCACCCCGCTCTGTGAATAACGATTTCTCTTGTATCCTGCTGAACAGTTCACCGCCTTCCATGCTGAAACAACATGCAAGAATAACTCATTACACATTGCCCACATCTAGCATAACATTTTCATTTTGAAATTAACACATTCCCTACGTATTATTTTGACACAGTATTACCACAAAATTTGAAGGGAAATTATATTTGGTGACCCAGTTTGAATCTTCAAAAACCACCACTGTGCAGTAAAAAAACAAGGGACATTAATCAGAGATGAAACTGGCCTTGGCAAAAAAATCTGAAATTGGGCCTTGGGTCCGAGCTGCCACAGCGTCGCGCGGTGCAGTGCAGCGCAACGCATCAACGTGGGACCCAGTGAATTTTTCATTTCATAGGTCTGTATTGAACCTTTTGTCCAGCCGGAAAAGGATCTGATCAGCGTTGGCCTAGGTGTGTTTCTACCATATCACTCTGTTCACAACTGGATTAAAAAAAGAGATTAAAACCACTAAACTTGTGAAAAGTTTTACGTTTTTACATGCCGTTTTCACAGACTTTTCATGAACTTTATTTGGAAATTATAATGGAAAAATCGTTAAATAATCACTTTTGTGGGATTGTTAAAAAATCTGAAATTTCAGTGGAGAAGTAAACAAAATCTGATTTCAGATTAAAATCTGAAAAGTTTCATTCTGACTGTTGAACCCTCTTTTATTTTAAGAGGCTTGCCTCTTCTTTTCTCAATCGTGTGAAATCGTCCAAACCCTCCTTGTAAATTATGAAGGATCTTGGAGAATGAAGTCATTTTCTTTTAAGAGTTTACATGTAAGATTTTGCCCAATTTCCTTGTTTTCCCGCTTCATTGACAATCTTATCTAAGCTGCCCATTCCGATATGTACCAGGCTGTGACAATGAGTGCAGAAAAACATGCAAACCAAAGCAAGATTAAAGGGAATGTACAACATTTGCTTTTGCTGCAATTTTCTGAAATAAATGGATTTGGAGGATTAGTATGTTTTAGCAAATATTGTTACACTGACTTGTTTCACGTTTTGGGTTCGTAGATGCTGGAAAAGCCAAGAAAACCAATCATATTCTTGTAGTCTGGTTCCCTGACCCCACTTAAGATGAAAAGGAGCAATTTATAGACTTTGGGGAATTGCAAGATCAGAGAATCAGTCTAGCAGGCTTGTAGTCTTTACAGGTGTGTAATCAATTGCGAAGAAAATGCAGACGAACAAAATATAAAAATCTAGGACCTTTTTGAAAAAAAAAGCCAGTTTTCTCCAACGATGGTCGGCCGACCAGCGTTGGAAAAATACAGTTTTTTTTTAAATGTCAGCACATCAAGAGCCACAAATTAACTGGATGCTTTAGACTGTCATTCCCTAACAATCCAGTAAGATATTTCGTGATAATTTGATCATTTCATTTTTTGATGTTTGCAAATGTTGTATCTTCCCTTTAACTTACTAACTCTGCTTTACTTTACTAACTTACTAACTTGTACCAGACAATGAAACCAAGCAATCCAAATCTGGAGTCAAAACATGAATGGCACAAATCAAAACAAATCATTGTGTGGTTGGGTGGTTTGTTCATCATGCCGAGAAGGTCAAGAAAACGAGTCTGGGTACAAGACCTTTCTTATGACACACTTGACTTGTGCAACACCCTTGAAGTGTTGGACTTGTTTCATGTGCATGCCTTTTTTTTCATGCCTTTCACCTTGTTTTTACCATGTTCTGTTCTTAGACTTTCACTATTCAATATCAAGAGTCTCTCCGTTTTAGGAGTCTCAACTTCTTAGACTACCCATGTACACATACTCACCATTCCATGACAACTAGAAGGCACCTGTGACCATTATAAATGTTCTCGTACACATCCTCAATGCCGACGATGTTGTAGTTCTTGCATGCCCTCACGTGGAGGTCCACCTCCCTCTGTGCTTTCTGGTTCTCCAGAAGTACCTGCAAGGAGACGAGGAAAATTACAGTTTACTTCTACACAAGTGTCTATTTTACATCTTAACCCTAACACTCCCAAATCCTCTTTGCAGAATGGAGGAAAATGGAGGATTTTGCAGGATTGAGGCTATATGGCCAAAATGTGTGGCTGATTTTGGAGGATGCACTGTGTCAAGGTCTTCGGCCAGACCTTGTGTTGTTTTATGCTCAGCCGTGCATAAATTTAGGCCTAGATTATACTTGAAATCCTCAGCACTGCTCCAGAATGTCACTGGTTCTGCCTCAACATATTGACAGTGATTACTGGAGGATTTTGCAGGATTGAGGCTGTATGCAATTTTTACATACACGTACATGTAGAGGCAGTTTGAGGATTTTGCAGGGTTTACAGGTTGCATCCTAGCAAAAATAGGGAGTTAGGGTTAAAGCAGGATCATCTGCCTTTCATGCATTTTGTTGGTTTCCCATAAAAACACCACTCAAAATCCAAACAAGAATGTCCAAAACCTCCCCGGTTAAATTTCAGCTGCGTGGATATTACACTTTTCGAGAAAACAGTGAAAAACGATGCACAACTTTTTGATCACGAAACATGATTTTGTCAATACCACTCTTTATTAATAGAAAAAATATCAGTCAATTGACTGAAAGTTGGCAATCGCCTACATTCCTGGATTTCTTCTAAATTACAGCAATCCAGACATAATAGTTTCACTGTGTGTTTAGTACCAGTACCATCTACCGGTACAATCCAAGTAAGCATTTTGATAATAACTTGGTAGGTTACTTTTGGGACAAATAAAAATGATCCCATATGCTTTTAATTACATTACACATGTGTCTACCACATCATTATCATCGTCGTATGGCTGCTTCGCAGGCGACCGATGACCACAAATTTATGGTCACTGGCAATGTTCAAGGGTGCCTTGGTTGAAGCAAAGTTGAAACAAAAATGATGGTAAATGAACATAACACATTTACTATCAGAACTGCCGAACTTTAATAAAAGAAAACTACAACATGTAATTCACCCCTTTTTGCCAGGAACCGTCTTCAATCCTCCAAAATCCTCCACAATTTTACACAAGTTTATGTTCAAATGAAGGAAACCCACTGCCCCAATCCTTTACAATCCTCTGAATGTCCTGCCTCTCAAAATGCTTTCATCCTCAATCCTCCTTTTCTTCAAACACCATTCAGCCTCCATCCTCCAAAATCAACCGATACGGAATGTTTGGTATAAGGCGCTATATGTAAGCACCACATTATTCATGTTATTATTATTAATCAAATTTATAATTCATACAACTACATTTTGTACATAATGCCAGGACTATTTAAAGCTTATGGCAATTATGAACAGATATGGTCAATTTATTGAGATGATTACGACATTTCAACTGCTATCAATTGAGTTTTGTTATCGTAATGAAAGATTATAAAATTATATGTCTGCATTCTCATGTGTGTCCTGAGGCACAGACAGACGGAAAATTATTATTTCAATAAAGCAATGCCATCCATATTGGCCATTGAAGGAAGTGAGCACCCAGATATATTTGTAGCTTTTACGTGATGGCCACATACCAAAGGGATGCCTCAGACATGAATGTACCATAAGGCCTGTATTGTGCATGGAGATTTATGTATACCATGTGTATCTTGGAGAATTTATAAGGAAGTGACAAATTTCTTTGTGTATGAGTAATTTGCTGTATTCTTCATGTGCATAAAGTACCGGTATGTATGAATGAGAATTGTGACAAAACAAGACATCTCTATAATAACGTATACAAAATTAAGAAAAAGTCTATACCATGAATCCCCTAAAATTGAAATATCCCCGCAGTGCTCTCGTGCAGAATTTGAGTTAAATTTGTTAACATATGAATGATGTATTTATTAAAAAATGAAAATGTGTCAAGTAACACATTAAAAAAAAGTCTGAAAATTGGATGAAAGGTCTGAAAGATGCATTTCTTTCTATACTGACAATTGATGCCTTTCTCTCAGATTCAGAAAGTCTGAATTCAGACAAAAGTCTGATAAATCTCATGCCTGAGAGTGAGAACGAGGAAAATATGTTCTTTGTACCCAAGACATGTGTACATAAAATTACAAGTTCACCTTACATTACATGTACATGTACATGTGATGTATAAGTTTTCTTTTGTGCATAAACATGTTACGGTACATGTTTGCACGAATATCACACGGACCGGTACCAGTGTGTCACATGTACTGTACACAAGAGTACTGATGTTGGCCTACATTCCTCCATGTAGGCATTTCGCATTTCACTGTTCTGACCTATGCCCAACTCCAATATACATAACATTTAGGTACTAATCGCACGTACAATTCTCAGAAGCACCCAGTGGAAAGCTGCGATAATGGCCAATCATGACTCCATTGTCATGTTACTTGTTAGCTGGCTGCAATACAAAGCTACCCATAAGTGCACAGTGAATTTGTTATCAGATCAAGGTCAATGCTAGCAAGGAATTTGGGCAGTACATATCGTTTAAAAATAAAGCTACATGTACAGTGTACATGGCTTGGGACAAATGCAACCGGTTTTGATTTGACAGTAATTCCTGATTTCACGACAGAAGTCATGACAGAACTTTACAATGCACATAAACATGAAATCTGTTTCGGTTTTCCATGCCCATGTAGCCTGGTTTTCATTTTGAAAAATTGCCCACAAATGGCATTCAAAACCTTTCCTTTGCATTGTCTGAGAAGTTACTGAGTAGTTTGTAAAAGCTGGTTACGGGTACCAGATCCCATAATCTGGAACCGGTTCCTGACATCAGCGGTCGGGTACTCGGGTACCTTGTTCTGATGCACACCCCTACAACTTTGTTGCGTGTATACAAGATACACATGACATACCGTACAAGCATCGGTACATACATGAATATGTATGGTAGGAGATACGCATGATATAGAAGTACATGTACATGTACATGTACATCCAGGTTGCATGACCAAACAATAATCACAGGAAGCTACCAGGTCTGACTTCATGATGAACAATATGACCTTGCAGTGGGGACTGGCCTTATTAACACAAGCAATATACAGAAATGCCTGACCCAAATCAAATGGAATGACAGCAAACCTCCCCGCCCCTGACTCACACAAAGCACTCTGCATTGAGCTTGAATAGCCTTGGCATTAAAAGGGCTATATGGACAGGTGTACTCAGGCAGAACACAAAATGGCAATAAAACGGACAGTGTAGAAAATATACCATTTAATAAGTAAACATATTAATTGACAGTTTCACTGCATAATGTACATTCTGGCTTGCAAGATATTTGCATACACTTTCTGTATGCATACCGGTTATGCGTGTACATAATACGTGTACATTTTCTTTGGGTATGTTGGATCAAAGCCACCAATATTAATAGAACTTCTCACTGAAATAAAAATACTTTTGTGTATTTGTAAAATGCCGAGTCATCACTGAAACTTGGCTGTAAACTGATACATGTACCGTACAACTACCGGGGTAAGTTTACAGACTATTGCCAGTGTGGTACATGTACGTGTACATAAGCCATGCCGTACGTACATGTACATGCATGTAATGTAAGTGTAACAAAGGAGTTTCTGGAAATCTTTGTCTCAGTCTCTAGTACAAAATGTGTACATTTATCTATGGACCTCACTTTATAGAAGCCAGTACTGACGCAATTGGTGGATTTGCACTATCACTCGATCACGCATAAATGCATTCGCGCAGTCAGTCTATCCCGTAGAAAATCTCGGTTGTCACTTCTCTTTTTCCCAAAAATCCTCCAGAAGTGTAAATTACCGGTAGAAAGCAAAGGTGATCAACTGCTTGCACCGCAATCTGCCGATGGCAGCACCATTGACCGACAGCACAGCGTGATTGACCGTTAGCGCAGATCCACTGATCACATATTTGTGCGTAGGTTGTACACCTTCACCTAATTGTTCCTCAATTTTATGAACTCATTCACCACATGCCCAGGAGCATCTATTGCGTACTAGAGATTATATAAATGGCTTTCATAATCTACTCAAAACTGGCAAATGTTGATGACATGTACAAAGAGTACATACATGTACACATACGCTCAATCTGTCTAACCACACCGCAGCTTTACTTTCGCACTGCAAACAGAAATGTTGTGTTCGTGATCCATTCAAATAGACAATTAAAGTTCAATGAACTCAAATTATGGTTCAAAATGGCATTGGGTGTGGTCACTAGCAATATGATCCGTAAAGGGTGTGGCTACTAAGAGTTGTAATTTCCACATAGGTAAGGTTACATGTATGTACAATTGTTATCATAGGGTGTAGTCAAATGAGCTGCGCCAGTGTGTTAAATGCTTTCCTTATTTGTTGCTTACAAGGAAATAAAAAGTCATGAAAAGAAAGTTCATGACAAGATACATGACCAGCATGCGAAACCAAAGGGGATGCCGGTAGAGCTCACTAATGGTAACTAGATAGTGCACGCACTCGCCGGTCAATGCTGTGCATAAAGTTGTGAAGCCACATCAACTTACTTTTGGGCTCCATTTTATAGGTCTCCCTCAAAGACGGAAGCATGCATTGTACAGTGTTGAAAATGTCCCAAACACGCGCGCTTGTGAAATGTGTTCGAAATATGACGCAGCTGATGCGCGTTATACAAGTTGACACTCAAAATGCCGATGCACGTGGCTGGTCTGTACATGTAGGAAATGACGTCATTTGAGAGAGACCTACAATGTATATGGCTGCTGCTTTGTTCAACAAATACAGGGACCAACTTTGCAGAGCTGGTCAATACATGTAGTTAGAAGAAAAGTCCTAATTAAACACAGCAGAAAATTGTGCAAACCCCATGCACCATTTTGTAGCGTGTATAGCCTTGTTCAATGCGGTCTCTCGGCTTTTTGTCGAAGGGAGATAATTGGGCCCTAGCACCCACAATCAACGCGGTTACGTGCGTGTACCACCGACCCTTGTCCGTGCGTGTACCACCGACCCTTGTCCGTACGAACGGTTCGGTACTAACACAACCAGCAAGCACACACACGTGAGTACGGACTGTACGCATGGTGTAATAAGGCAGTAAATGTAGGCCTACTATGTTCTGCGTGTGGGTGTACGTACGTACGTGTGGGGGATATACGCGCCGCGTGGCCTGTCGAACGACCGCCTTGTTGGGTCTGCAACTTCCGGGTTTAATGTCTTTCTTTACTTTTTCGTCCAGTTTTGGAAAAAAATGGGCGGGCTTCAGGTATGCGGGTATGCCGTGATGATTATGTAGGTTCGTCTTGGACCAATCACATGAAACAACCTTCGCAATAGTATGATTAATTCATTTTTAAGCTGACCAATCGTAAGCTTCACAAGAATCATGTGACGTCGCGCGGCATGCATAATGCATTAGTCATCATGGCGTCTTCCATGTCATTTTAGCGAGAGCGAAATGTTCGTCACTTTTTCAACAATTTGACATTGATTCGAGTTTTTCGGCTCGTGTAATGAATCCATTTGAGTGGGCAACGATCGTCTAATGACAGCATTACCTGCAGAATTCGTTGGAGCCTTCAATACTGCTTCGGACAGACTGGGACTGAACGACTTTCACCCACAGCAACGGGCCGCCATTGCAGCGTTTCTTCGCGGATGCGACGTGTTCGTTAGCCTATCGCGGGCTGACCAATGAGAATTCAGTATATACGCGGGGGTGGTACCTCATTACCGTAATAGGTTTTGCTGGGTCAACTCAAAACCATCAAGGCGTTGGGTTACGCGGACTAGCTCATGCATGTACATGTACTTGTACATGTACATGTACTGTGTGTGCATGGCTGTTGTACGAGTACGTGTGTGATGTACGTGCGTACGTACATGTACATGTACAAGCATAGCCTTGCTGTATGGTACAAGTTACTTTCTCACTAGCAGCGTACGGGCATCGATAATGTGCACGCAATTATGCCTTGCCAAGTTGATTAGGGATTTTGTTATCGGCGATTTTTTTTTTATCGGCGAATCGATAAGCCCGCAACGCCTTGGTCAAGGCTATAGCGTGTATTGTGCGAGGTAATGCATCTGAGGTTTTGCCAGGGGGTTCTGGAATTTCTAAAGGACGGACAAAATTAATGCGAACGCGGAGCGCAAAGCCCTTACCGCGTGGCTTAAAGGGCCCCTAAAAGTTTTGGAATATGGATGTTCTGTGGTGCACTCTGAGGCGATTCCTGGCCACTTTCATATAACTTTTTAAGCAAAAGTTTTTTTGAGATTATAAAGACAATTTATTTTACTTTTTTGTTTAGAATATACTCTTGCTCTTATAACGTTCCTACTGTACTGAAAAGTCGAGGACACTGTATTCTTATCTCCATTTTTTGTTCCATTTAATTCTGGAATTCAAATCGGAGCAGGAAGTTAAGTGTTACTAAGGCCGAAAAAAAAAATAGTTCTGCTTCCGATTACATGCCTTTCCAAAATAGGGTCGGTCGGTCAGAATTTTTTTTTGCCAATTTTTTTTTTATGCAGATTGAATGGGGTATTCAATTATATGCGAAGTTTTAGCCTGAACTATTTCCATTGCACTACAAGATACATGTATAGGTCAATTCTGTGAAATAACTGGCAAAAATGTTCTTTCTCCATCGGTGTTTTCTTGGCATTTTTACGATGTCGAATCCGACCAGTTGACACTGACAGTGCACGTGTCAAATGCATAGCGATGCTAGCGCTAGCGATCGCATAGCCATGACAGACTGGTTACCGCACTTTCATCATGTCTTCTAAATTGGCCCCTGCACGGCGCGGCGGGAACCAGTCGTCACTGCATTGAGCAAGGTTTACGCACGTGATTATAGTCACCGTGACATCGAATTGCGAGTATGATGACAGATCGCGAAGCGAATTTGGTGTCTTTTGAAAAAAAAATAGCCAATGTAAGTAAGAAAACAAATAAATACAAGCATTTTTTGACGCAAATGGGTTGTTGAGAGGTATTTTGTGAAGACAGAAAAGACAAGCTTTTATTTTTATTTATTCAATCATTATTATTATTTTTATTTTTTGGAATTGCCGATAAAATTTTTAGGGGTCGCAGCCTAAAAATAGGGTCGGTCAGGTAACCGGAAGCAGAAGTATTATTTTTTTGGCCTAATACACACACTTATAAATTCATTATATTTCCTTATTTTAAAAAGTTATATTCACTGAATGACGAACATTATCCTGTCTGAACTAAATCAATATTAAGTTTGGACATTTTAACTGATGACGTCATCAGTGTAAATAAAATGTATACTGAAACTTATAAAACCCGGAAGGATGTTTTTTGGTTCAAGTTAAAACAAATGGTTCTACTGAAAACGGATGAATTTCTGTTCATAAAAATATTCAGAACTTAACTAGCCAATAAAATAGTTCTAACTCAACACACAATGTACATTGTGTAGCTCTATATTTGCAGTGTTATTTGTTTGATACAGGGAATGGCAAATGAAAGACTAAAGGACCAAATACATCTATATGATTGGTAGATGGCAAGTTTGGGGCGAGGGAAGGATATGTTATCAGTCTACTGAGTTTTGATGAAGAAAAAGTTGCAGAGGGTAAAGCATGAATAGCTACACTGGAAATGGCGTAAAGCATGACTAGTTTCAATGAAAGCCGGTCCCACTCCTATTAGGCTGGGGATGTGTGTATGTTATGTCGTGGGAAGGAAGGAATATCAGACGCAAGAATATCGGAACACACTGTTTAATGCAACATGGCGGAACTCCTCAATCCTGCCGATAGAGGGCGCACTATAAGGACACAATGTAATGGAAGGATAAACCTTGCTATTTGTTAATGTTGAGTACAGAATGCTAACAACGTCAATGAAACTTTTATATGAAAAAAAAACCTTCAGGGGATAGGTATGAACATTAGTCCCTATTTAAAGCTCGAATGAAAAATTCCTGGCAAGCATAAACAGCTTTGCCATCATCGTCATGGCCGAGGTTATTGCTTTTGGGTCAAAGCATATCCATCAAGGCGCAACTCCACTGGCGCCACAATGTTGCGCAAGTTCATAATATCATAGACATGTCATGATTTTAGATAGTTTGAGAGAAATATCGATTCTGCACTGCCTGAAGATTTAGAAAAAAAACTATGGATATTTAACGGTGTTTGTGCTAGACGTTCGAAGCGCCGCGCTTAGCCGCGGCAACGCTAAAAATGAACAAAAGGAAGGAGATATTTGTAGAGCAAACAAAATGTACAGCGTAGCGGCGCAATTTCATCGTAACCATGGAGGAATGGTAGAACACTGCTGGCTCGAACACATTTTAGCCCGGCAGCAGGGGGTGCTGAAGCATATTCCAGCACCCCAATCCAAAAAGTATGGGTTGCTGCAGCACCCACAGCACCCCCCGTGCCTGCGGGCTTGGTCTTGCTACATGTATGCTTACTGTCTCTGTGGGTTAGATGAAGGCTCTTTTAGCATTGATTATGTGCTTAGCAACTCTATGATACTGGGCCAAGTCAAGAGTGTATAGAGCATCCTGTTGCCTATCAACCGGGGACTTCAAACTAATAGCAGGCTTAAGAAAAATTGTGAAAAAAAGGAAGTCCACAACAGGCTGGTTTGCATAAACATGTAAGTCAACATGGATCAAAATTTGAGGAACAGATCAGTATGTGGTTTGGCCTCCCAAGATGGCACCCTGGTGCCTTCAGCCTGTGATCTCGATTCACTTTCCAGTCATATACATGTGTACATACTATGCAACGATACGGTACATCGGGAAAACCATCGGTACACTACAACCATGGATTTTTAGTGGCTGTGAATTCAGGACTTACTTTGAGTGCGTATTTATGCCCCGACTGTTTGTTGTGGCACTCCAGCACTTTCCCGTTGATTCCTAGTCCCAAGACCTTCTTGGTGATCTCATAGTCCTCCGTGATGGCGTGCTTCTTGGGGGTATAGGATAGCCCCGACTGTGTCGACTGGCTCTCACCCATCATGTTCTGCTGTCGATTGTTGTTCTTCCCTTTGGCTTTGTCCCTGGGTGAAACGGAACAAAATGCAGAGAAAAATACATTGGAATCAGAATAAGCAGAGCTATGATTCATTTGCACAAAAGGTTACAGCTACAAATTCCAACAGAGGATGAAATTACACTTCTTTGAAGTTGTATAGTCTATGGAGATTAGAGTGCAAGTATTTGCTAACAAAATTGGAAATGTTTGTTAGTCCCAATTTCAACATTGACTGACCTTCATTGAGATAATATATGATGAAAGAAAGTGGCATCATGATGCAACATTCTTTCCCTTCCTTGATGGTCGCATGCCCTAGGAATGCACTTACAGCATAAATTCTGTTCGGACAAATATGGTCAATGGTAGGCAAATGTCCAATAGTCATTTCACCCTCTGTGCAGATGCTGGTTTTACAAGTGTATACATGTACAGTGTCCATGCACTTGGCATGCAGTGCAGTATTCTGGCATTTTGTACACAGTGAAACCCATGTCAAGGAGGCAATCAAACTCAACATTGCAATACAGCCCTCACAAAAAAACCAATGCAGCCTTCGCCTGCCATCCGTTCGGTCATGCAAGGGTCAGACAATCACGTTTACGAGGTACTTACTCCGCTGGGGTCAGAGCCAGGGGATTTTTGAACATACTCCGGGTTGCTTCGTTTTCTGCCATTGCACTTCACACAGCCCGGTGATGTTTACGGAAGGAATTCCTGGCTCAAATTTAGAACTCGCAGTGCGGGGCTTGGCTGGCGCTTATTTACAAGTGTGCATACCACAAGTCTGACGGTTAGTTTTAGTTTCAAGAAACTCTGAGACAGCAAGCAGCATGAGGGGCCGAGGCAAGCATGCTGAGTCATAGCTCGGTCATCCTACCACCCACCAATTTAACGACGACGACGGTGAGTGTAAGTTGTGATCCCTGTCATGACCTAAAGGTGACAGAGCAACTCGAGCCCTTTAAATTTAAAGGGACCGCCCTATGTGGGCAAGATTTTGTTTGTGGTATCTCAGAGCAAATTTGGTTCCTAGCACTTCTACAACATTGGCAAATAGGCGCACTTCTCCATCAGAAAACTCCACACAAAATAACGACAGTATGCATAAAAACTTGAAGCACTTTGTTTACGGTGCTTTGTTCAAGCTCACAGCTAAGATAAAAACTGACTACAAACCCCGAAAATTCCCTGCCACTACTACCCGTACATGCACGAGTGGTCACAGATAAGATCCACAAAAGGATTGCAAAGGACAGAACCCACTGTAGTAACATTCCAGGTAAAGGGTCACCTTAGACCCAAAAATAGCTCAGACAAATTTAAAGGGAATGTACATCATTGGCTTTTGCTGTAATTTTCAGAAAATTAACTATTTGAGGGGTTAGTATAATAGATCAAATATTGTTACACTGACATGTTTGAAGTTTTGTGTTCGAAAATGCTGGAAAAACCAAGAAAAACAAAAACGTTCAAGTAGTCTGGTTCCTTGACTCCACTAAAGATAAAATGGATCAATTTATAGATGCCAGAAAATTGTAAGGTAAGGGAACCAGTCTAGCTGACCTGCACCCGTTCATGAACATGTAACCAATAGCTAACAAAATTTGGACTGAAATAAGTGTAAAGTTGGAGCAGCAGTTGAAAAATAGTTAAAGGTTTTTCCAACGGTGGTCGGCCGACCACCGTTGGAAATGTATACAAAAATACCATTTTCTTGAAAATGACTTCACACCAGGTGCCATAATTTTACAGGATGCTTTAGACTGTCATTTACCAACATCCTAGTAAGGTATTTCGTAAAAACTTGGTACCGGTAGTTTTATTTTTTGATGTTTGAAATGTTGTATATTCCCTTGAAGTACTACAGTCAATTTTGAGCTGTCTGAGTGTCAGGCGCATAGTCATTCACAAACTTACCTTGTAAAATTTAGAACACATAAGCTGACGGAGCACTAATTTTGTGTTCAGACTAACATGATAACTTCCCAAAATATTTCATCCAACTGAAAATTCACTCCCCGTTCCAAGATCCTGACCCGTGCACCTCCTTTAAAAATGCAATACTTTTTTCCCTTTTTTTGTTTGAAGAAATGATCTTTCCTCCTCTGAGTAATAGTGGAAGGGGGTAAGACAGGAAACTATGACACAAGGGAGCCATGCTTACACCATCCCCACGCGACCCTCGTTCATTAAGTTCTATTATTTACAAACACGTGGTGCTTTGGTACCAGGGGCCTTGTTTTAAAACTAATTGTTAGTCACTACCCGGAGTAGTTACTGTTTGAGGGGTAGAAAGTTTGATGATAGCATTTTCCTGGGACCCTGGAAAAAGCTGCCAACAATCGAGGTTCCCTTTTGTATTGAGTAACAGCTGTTCATTTTTGGTATGGTTTGGAACTCAACTCTTTTTTTTCTGAGTTCCTCCTGTGAGCAGTTAATCCACCTAGTCATCTCACTTCACAACCCTTTAAGTTTTGCAAAACCACTTCTGCCCATAGATTTAGCAACCTCACTTCAAATTCCTTTGAGGTAATCGTCTGTGGAGTATGGATAACACTTCCAATCCCTGAACAATTCCTTCCTACAGCTTAAAAGCTCAAGTCAAGGCAGACAGGCAATTTTAGTCACGCTTCACTGCTCTCCACAGTGCTGTTTTTGTGCATGGTGTACATTATGTCTTCATCTAAAACTGACCTGCAGGGTTTTTGAGGGTTTTACATATTGCTCTCAATATTGACTTCCCGCTAGGAGGTTATTTAATACATTATAAAAATAAAAAATATGTGCAGCAACACTTTTATAAACTTCGACCCTAATCCTCCAAAATCCTCCCTAGGCAGTTTTGGAGGATTTTGGAGTATTGCGGCTAAATGGCAAAAAAAATGTCGGTTGATTTTGGAGGATGCATTGTGTCGAGTTTGTAGGCTGTACCCGACATTGTTTATGTTCAGTTATGCATTATTCAAGCCCTACATTAGTCTGGGTATCATCCGCAATGCTTCTGAATGTCATCAGCACTGCCTCAAACCACTAACAGTGATTGTTGGAGCATTTTGAAGGATTGCGGCAATTGTCGCCCCTCCAATGAACAAATTCAAGAAAGAACGGATGATTTTTGAGGATTGATATGATTGAGGAGCCCTGTATCCAATTCTTAGTTTCTTACATGGTAGCAACTGGAGGATTTGCAGTTGTTGAGGGTGGCTCCTAGCCATAAGGGCCTAGGGGGTTAGGGTCAACCCTCCCAGATCCAGACATGTATGGGTAGCTCACATTTTTGGTTACCGAAAAAATTTGAAAATATCTACATGTACATTAACTTCACAAAAACTATACCATTTGTACACTGTATACTGTGCATCGTTCATACAAACTTCTAGCTGAAACTTCTGATCACCCTTTTTTAATTTATAAATTTGGGAAAACTGCAGATTTATGTACATGTAAAATAGGCCAATCAAAAGAGAAAGTGAATCATCCCAGTTATACAAATGTCAATATACTTGATTTTACATGCACATCATTCACTTGATACTCATGCTACATGCATACAAGAAAATACACTAATCATACAAACGTGTTCAGGGAAAAAGGTGGAAAGAATGTTGCATCCTGACGCCACTTTTTCATCATATATCATCTCAATGGAGGTCAGTCATTGTAAAAATGTTGAAAATATATGAATCTGGGACTGAGAAATGTTCCCAAGTCTCCATAGACTTTGTACACAACCAACAAAGTGGCATCTGGAGAAAGAATGTTGCAACCCGACGCCACTTCAGCGGCTGTGTACAAAGTCTATGGAGAATCAAGGAAATTTTCTACGTATTCCGAACAAAATTGGAAATGTTTCTCAGTCCCAGTCTTATCATCATTTTTGCAATGACTGACCTTCATTGAGATGATATGAAGAAAAAAGTGGCGTCAGGTTGCAACATTCTTTCTGCGTCTGGATACAACATTCTTTCCAAAAAGGTAACATTCAGAGATTCCAGACACTGCCAGATGCCACTCCAACATCAAAATCAATGATTGAATGAACATTAGCTCGAGTAACTCCAGCTGACATGCTCATCAGGAATTCACATGTAACGCTGGAGACTAATCTACGTTGTATACATGTATGTGAAATTGTAAGAGACCCTTAAAAAAAACGGCCTCCACAAACATGACAAAATTGTCCTTTTCCCCTCTATTATCCCAACCCAGATTCCATTAAACATACCTCATAGTTTGCCTTAAGTCATTCACGAAGCTAATGATCAACTTGAAACAGAACAAAAGTTACTAAAATATGAAAAATATTGATGATTTCAGTGGCTTCTTCAGAAAAACCGTCCAGTGCCATTGTACTGTCATGGTGTTGTGGTTATTGTGTGCTTGCACTGATCAGCCAATCAGATTATTGCTCGGTTATTCGTGGAATAATCTGATCTGATTGACACATTTAACACAGCCATACATGTATATGACAGTTCAGCGGCACTGGACGTTTTTTCTGAAGAAGCCACTGAAATCATCAATATTTTTTCATACATGTATTTTAGTAACTTTTCTTTTGTTCTGTTTCACGTCGATCATCAGTGAATGACTGAGTGCAAACCAGACTGGGACCTGGGAGTGTTCTGAAACGTGCAAACCCAAATCAAGCCAACTTTACTCACTCTTTAGCCAGCAAATTTCTCCAAAATTTTCATTGGGCAAAGAAAAGGTCCTCAGTATTTCACCAACCAAGTTTGCAGACTCAATTCAATTTTTAAAGGAGTCATTTTTTTCTTCAATATTTTGCCCATGAGAGGAAGTCAAGTGATTTCAAAATGGGGCTAAAGACTAGACTGGTACATGTCCAACCATGGTCCAACTGTTTGAAAAGACTGACCTCTTCATTTAGTGTCATTAGTCTGGTGACAGACTATGGGGAAATGTGTGTTAAATAGAGACTAGTTCCTAACTTGCCACGTGTTTCTTTTGACGCAGTTGATTGATGCAGTACTGAAGGGTTGTTGGACTGGTTGTTTCAGGTGCCAGTCTATTTCTTGTATTGCATGTTTCCAATACCTTATTTTTGTTTTGGGATTTTTATACACGGTATTGAGAGTCCCAAATTTTCGGACTATAAGTGCAAACTATGAGCACGCATGCAACTGGGAAATCACAAAAAAAGAGGAAATTCAAATTGTTTCCAGACTTTGTACAGTGTTTTTCTATTTTCAATGGCGCACATGGGAAGTAAGAAAGAGGAAATCAGCTGATCCGAGGAAAAGTTGCATGCCTGTATGAGGGATGTTTAATTAATGGAATATGGGTTGGGATATTAAATAGAGGGAAAGGACCATTTTGTCATGTCATGTATGTGGATGCCGTTTTTTTTTAGGGTCTCTTACAATCTCACACTTACAAGTTACAACGTAGTTTTGTCTCCAGCGTACATGTAGCATGTCAGCTGGAGCTGCTCAAGCTAAATGAACATGATGAAAATTTGTGTCACTTCTAATTTGTCATGTTTGTGAAGTATAAAAATTACATTCGATACATTTCTCAGTCCTAAAGTCATTTGTTTTTTTTGTTTTTTTCACCATCATTATAATTAATATCATTAGGCCGGTTACTAATACTAATACTAGTACTGTCATGACTGTTGTGAAAAATTGTGGCATCAGGCTACCCCTAGAACTATGGGTAGGCCTATACCATTACGCGTATTACGTGTAATCCTCTCCCCCATAGTTCTAGACATGCTAGAGGTAGCATCAGGCTAGTCCGAGTAACTTGGACCCAACTTATCGCCTTTTTTTAAACATTTGGACATGGTCTGGCGATAAAAAAGGCGATAAGTTGGGTCCAAGTTAGTCCAAGTAACTTGGACCCAACTTATCGCCTTTTTTAACATACCCCAGACCATGTCCAAATGTTAAAAAAGGCGATAAGTTGGGTCCAAGTTACTCGGACTAGGTCCAACATGTCCAAGTTACTCGGACTAGCATCCGGCATGTGAGATTTTGGTAATGTAATCAGGCCTAACGTAACTTATTGTTTATAAACAATAAAAAGGAACAATAAACATACAAATATCAAAACAGAAAACAACACAATAGCAATGTCACATTTGAAAATTATAATACATAATTAAACTCAAGGGCATGCTGAAGAAAACAGTTTCTCCTTCCGAATTAAACACTAACCTCAACCAGGAAAAGGCATCCATTTTCTCTTAGTCTTTGAGATTTGTCAGAGAGCGTTGGAGGAACGGCAGATGAACGAATGCCTATTTTTAGCAGTTGATTTCACCACCACTTTTCCACGAATCACTTCACAGACTGCTCTGGACAATGTTATTTGTATGTGTGCAGTTTTGTTGCACAAATTACAAAACACCGGGGAAAAAAGAGTCCAACATAAAGGACAAGCCAAGGCTCGAAAAACCTGTCGATTTTCACCCTCCGATGACGAGGTTTTAACCCCAAAATTAGAAGATGCAGCACAAAATGGAAGAATTTACAATGGAGAACAGCGGCAAATTTAGCACTACTCTACGTTTAATCACCGGCTGCTTACCAAGATTGGAAAATTACCATAGCATGTCATCATATCCACACACGATTAATTATTCACACGACACGATATCGTCTATATCACATGTATCACGACACGGATGTATTTCGTCTAGTTCCGGTCTCTCGAGTTGTACGCGTTAAACAATGCACACGTGAGCAAACCAGTGAAACGACACAGACTGAGTTGCACCAGACTAGGGCAAAGGACCGAAAGTTAATACTTCCAAAAGAAGTAGTTCTCAATCCTTAACCTTTATGACAGTATTTATATATTGCTCTGTCTCTTTTTAAACACGAGCAAATCTTAAGTTATTTACCTCAATTTATATTCTGAAAATGATTTATTTCCCTAAAAGGCGTAAATTCATGCCCAAGTTTATTGCGGATGAATACACATATTATAACATGCGTTATTGCATGCACGCAAAGTGATGGCTATTTACACGGCTGCCGGGCGATAAACCAAGTCCAATTTTTTTTGCGGCCGGCTACGGCTTTGGCTTTTGTCACTGGTAAAAGGTAAAGGTAAAGGTTCCCATAGCCATTATTGGCCGTAGGTGCAGTGGGACGTTAGAGCTAGGTCCACTGTGTCTTGGGCGCGCGGAATGGCGGTGCCCAGTCCTCTCCTCTCGCCGCCTTGCCTTCCAGTGAACAAATCAGGTACCCATTTTACTGTTGGGTCGTAAGAGAGAGTTTTCCAGTTTTTTGGTCCGAATGGGATTGGAACCGCCAACATTCCACTCTGTAGCTCCACGCTCTAACCGCTCGGGATGTCCTACTAGCGCGGCCATCTAGATCTTTGATCCGAAGCCCTAGTCAAAAGTATTTCGGACTGACATCGCACATTTCACAGCATTGGTATTTCCTGGCCACGCCCCAAATTTGTACTTTAGCGGGAACGAAACTTTTTAAAAAGAATGATGTAGGCCTATGACAAATATAATACTATAGTTTTTGAAAATTGTTCGTTTTGGAACCCCTTAAAGGTAGGGTGCACCTCGCCGGCCAAATCACGCTGATTAATTTGAGACAAATTATGTAGTCCCGGGCCAGGCATGCATTTGAGGGTCGGGTCGAAATTAAGTCTCACGCAGCTTCTTCTATGAAGGGATGTCATTTTATCCGAAACGGTCGCTATCCGATTTTTGCGACGGGCTTGGCCGCGCGATCCGTCAAAAATCAAAATCAAAAATCAACCCTCCGGTCCGGTCCCCCCCCCCAAAAAAAAAACCCACAAAAAATAAAAGAACAGAAAGTGAAAAATGTTAAATCATGCTTTACTTAATTTGATGTACGGTATCTTGAATGATCTCCTGCCAGTTATGAGCATTTGGGGGAGGATTTATCATTGGTGCGACGGTAATTTACGCAGGCGCGGATCCAGAGGGGGGGGGGGGCAACCCAACCCCCCCCCCATCTCTGTCCAAAAAAATTATCATACAAATTCCTAAAAAAAATGTCGACCCCCCCCCCCCCCCGTGACACCCCCAAAAAATTATACTGGTATAATGTCCGCCTGTTCAAAATACGGTACACCATTCTGTATTAATCTAGTGTTAATAATCGTCGAATTTGAACAGCGCCCCCTATTGAAATATCCCCCCCCCCCTTTACGGAGGCCAAGTGTCCGGAGAAAAAAACCTGTGTACATTTTCAGATTTTTTTTGCTGATTACCCCCCCCCCCCCCCCTGCGAAAATTTCTGGATCCGCCCCTGTTACGGGTACTGATAAACGGATCATAATCTGCGCCAAATCCAAATCAGCGGGGGTGCAAGGCTCCAGGGGCGCACCAAATTTAAAAATTTTTCCTTCCAACTATATTTGGGAAAAAAATATGGTTAAGGTGAAGAGTCCATTTGCCTCATGCGGTACGTGTCTTATGATCTATCTGGTCCTGGTTTTGACGTGATGGCGATCTATCATGGCGTTGAACTGAAGGGGCGGCATGAAAATTATGCTGTACAAAAGGTGCACAATCAAATCATGATGTACTAGAGAGTTCATATCGTGTGTACTCAGTTTAAATAACTCATTTTTTTTCTAATTAGGAATCTTATTGAATTTGATGTTACTGATGAAGCTGAGCGACTAATTTGGCGAATATAGCCCAGCATGCACGTAATTCAATTGAGAGGATCATATACTATCCGTGATCTTCAATAAAACGATTTTTTTTTCTCAAGGAATTTTAAAATTGTATGTTTTATTTTGATGCCCTTTCCAGATGCATTTTCTTCCGAACGTTTCAATGCTTAAACTTCAGAAAGTTTACAATAATTATGCAGGGTCCTCCGATACTCTACTGAGTTGAGGAAAATGAAGTGGAAAATGTAGCATAACAGGTGTAAACAAAAAAGTGCAGAACAAACAGGTCTAAAACCAGCTTCATTCCAGTATTGACTCTGTGTAAATTGCTATTTAAAGTTTCGTTTTTCGTTTAATTTGATGCTAATAGATGTGTGCAATGTGCAGTAAACGTTTCTCCCGTATAGTGTTTTCGCCGTTTCGTGTTACCATTTTTACATAATTGTATCGATCAAGATCGTCTCTTAAACTTGGAATGTAAATATTTCAGTGTTTAATTAAATCTTAAACTTATTGTATTTGAATCCAACATTTTTTAAGTGCCTAGGACAAAACGAAAAACGGGCGCACGATAGGGTATATATAGGCCTCTCGCTACAACTTTGACTACAATGCCGCGTTGTATCTCAGAGTGTATTCTTTTAATATTTTAATATTCTAATTTAGCTACAATGAAAGCCAGAGAGGTTATGCTTGTCCAATAATTAAGCGATGCTTACGTATGTCTATCGGTTGGTCTTTGAATTTGGGGCACACGCCGGCTATTAATATTATACCTTGTAGCAATTTTTAAAGATTTTATTTTTTTCGTGAATGTTTTCTTTGTGAAGTGCATGGCCTGATGTCGTTGCTACTGTTGCTTATGTTTTTATGAACCCTGTGGGGAAAAAACACATCATTCGATCCTTTAGCATGGGAATAAACTGCCCTATACATAAAAACAGCCAGCTATTGTAGTTGCATATGGGTCCGGGTCATTAGAGACACACTCTTGGAAAAAATGGTCCGGATAACATTGTTAACTTATTTCTTATGATGGGACTGCGGTTTGGCCGAAGTCAATTGAGCGTGATCGGCTGACTGATAAGGTTTACGTACAAAACCCCGAGCCAACGAGGTTTTGTATAGAAAGCTGCTGGACCACATTTTGCGAGAGTGTGTCCGTAATGTGCAGGCCGGAAATAGGCCCAACTTACCTACACGGGCCAAATCATGATCATGCCTTCCCCAATCAAGTTATTTTGCCAGTAGAGGACTGCAGCATTGTATTTCTGTGAAGTTTGGATGAAATTTGGTCCCAAGTTGAAGTTGCTCTCAAGATACGGAAGCGTATTTTCAAAATCGATGGGCTTTAGTTCAGGACTACTTTTAGGGGGATTGTCTTTGGGTGGAATTTTCTCCCAGAAGTCATCGGATTACCCCAAAAAAATGAACAGAAACGAAAGATGGTGAAATAAGCTTTAATTTGATGGGTGTCTCAAATACCTTGGAGAGTTGTTTTCCCCCAGATCTTAAGAAGTGGCGGTATTTATCATTGCGGTCTATGGCAGTATATTTACTGGTCTGCAATTGTCGCCATACGTACTGCCGTATAAATAGCCCTTCTAAAAAGAGTCGCGGTTGCAGCTTTTCAACATTTGGACCGGTACCCAGGCTCTCCCCAGAGCAAGACTACCTATACACTTCCTGTTGAAATCGGTACCCGACTGATATAATAACAATATGGCGACAAGCGGAGTTTCACGAAGGGACTGAGCTTCGTGCAAACTGTAGTCGAAATCATCGCATTCTATCCAACTGTCCGTGCAAATGAGGCACCAGTCAAACAAGGACACGCCAAAGTGGACAAGAGGAAGCCCGGAGGTGAGGCACTCTATGTCAAGAGACAGAATGAGCCCAGGAAATGATCGCTACGAAGGTAGGGGAGGTAACAAAGCAGGTCGGTCGCGCAGTCTGGAAAAAGAAGAGCGCAGGAGAGACGGCGCTGGCGGGAAGCGCTCAAGCCGCAGCGACCATGAGCGTGATATCGGCAGAGACCCGTATCCCGGCGACCAGCGGTACAGCGGCCAATTCGACAAGCATGACAGGGAGCCCAAATACACAAGTTTGCGTGTCAGTAATTTCCCCTCCCATGTGTCAGATATGGCAATTAAGGATGCCCTTTTCCACGAATTCAAGAAATTTGGTGATGTGAATGTACGGGTGGCATACAATGGGGATGAGAGGTTTGCTTTTGTCAATTATCGCAACTCGGAGCAGGCACGTGATGCTAAACAGGCCAAAGGAGATCGCTTGACGTTGTTTGCCAAGCTATTGCGGATCGATAGTGTGTTCAGACGAAAGAGTATTTCGCCAGACCAAGGCTACTCTGGAAGGCAGGGCCAGGAGCCCATGGGTGGGAGGCGCCAGCAAAACAGAAATATGGGGCGGGATGGTCCCGGAGGCAGGGATAGAGATAATCAGTACGACAGGAGACCTTACGGTGGTGGCGATGCCTACCAGTCTCGTGAGCGTGAGCGCTATGATCGTGAACGTGATTTAGCACTTCTGCCTGAGGATGACCCAAAAGCAACGCGTACTGTTTTTGTAGGGAATTTAGAAGAAGGAATTCAGGATAGTGATTTGAGGCATGCATTTGAACGGTATGGTATTGTTGAAGATGTAGATATCAAATACCCGCCGCGTGGCCAGGGTAATCCATTTGCATTTGTGAGGTTTTTGAATCTTGACATGGCCCATAAGGCCATGGTGTCCATGTCTGGTCAGTACATAGGAAGGAACCAGGCCAAAACAGGTTATGGCAAGCTGTCACCAACAACACGATTGTGGGTGGGGGGTCTTGGGCCATGGGTCTCCCTAGGAGTCTTGGAACATGAATTTGATCGCTTTGGTGCCATCCGTAAGATTGATTACTTCAAAGGGGATGACTACGCTTACATACAGTACGAAACCTTGGAAGCGGCTCAGGCTGCAGCTTCAAATATGAGAGGGTTTCCTCTTGGAGGCCCAAATCGTCGTCTCCGTGTTGATTTTGCAGACCCTGATACAGGCAATAGTAGACCATATTCAGCCCATTCACCTCCTCGAAGACAACCAAGAGATGATGGTGGTGCCGGTGGTTTCAACAACCGTTACAGCCAGGGGCGTGATTATCGCCGTGATTATTCACCGCCCCCTCCATTCCGTGACAGCGGTCGCAGTGATCAATGGCAAGGATCTGATGGTGGTGGTGGATACCGTGCTGATTTTAACCGCCGTGGTGCTAGCTGGCAAGGAGATGATATCCGTGGTGATCCTGAGTGGAGCCGCAGAAACTCGGACGGTGGAGGCAAGCAGTTCAACTCCCGTGGGCCGGACAACCGCCGCAAGCGTCCGGCTTCCCCTGCTGTTGATTTCATGAAAGACCGACCATCTGATACCAGAGGGAGACCTTTTAAGAAGCGCAGGTCCCCTGATAATGGCAGTACTGGTGTGGAACGTCGATATGATGGAAGCTTTGACTCACCAGAGAGGGCCGCGATGGGTAACACAGACACACCTGAGTACCACAGCAGAAAACGCTACACTGATGATAATGAAAGACGGGATGGGGATGGATACCGTAATGAAAGGAGGACGTCTGACCGTGGCTACTCGTCCAAGCAGGATGGAAGGAAAGTTGAAAAGTACGACAGCCTCATTGATCTTGTGAAGTACCTCCCGCAGAGTTGGCAGAGCCACATTGTCCTGAAAAATAGTGCCTTTGCCACCGCCATGTACTTCATCGGCGGAGATTTGTCTGTGGCTGAGAACCTGCTGCCGATCAGTGGTACCAGTGAGGAGTCGCCGCTGAGGATCACCCAGCGTCTGCGCCTGGATCAGCCCAAGCTGGATGAGGTGGGCAAGAGGATTAGTGATGCTGGCTCCGGGGGCCACTGCTTGCTGCTTTCCCTGCCGGGTGCTGCCGAGGAGGGCATCCCTGCAGGCACCCAGTTGAGACCTCTGCGCAACCTGGTGTCCTACCTGCAAACAAAGCAAGCTGCCGGAATCATTAGCTTGCCTGTGCTGTCTGGATCAGTCAAAGATTACGGCATGCTCCATGCTTTCCCGCCCTGTGAGTTCTCTCGGAAACAGCTTTTGCGTTACCTGCCAGGTCTGAGTGCAGAGGCAATGAATGAGGATCATCTTGTTGTGATCATCTTGCGTGGAGCTGCTTAATCGCCCTCCCAAAATCCCCATTCAAGTGAAAATGTTGTTGACAGCTTGTTTGCTTGAGAAAAAAAAGTGTCTGCTGTAGTTTTACTAGCTTGTTTAGTTACGTGTGGTTTTAAAACTATTTTCACATTTAAAAATTCTTTGCATCGTGTATATTTCTGCACAAGACATTGATTTTAGCTTCATGTACATGAATTTATGTCGACAAAATAACTGTTGTAACCTTACTGAAGTTCAGTTACCTGAAATTATATATGCATTGTAAATCAGGTCATTTTTGTAATCTAAAGTTTAAAATGTTTTCAGAAAAGTTCTGTAATCTCTGTAATCACATCCAACAAAAAGAGAACAAAATGAGCTGCAAACTTTCAATTAACTTTTGTTCTTTTCCATGTACATGATTTAAGAAAAACTATTGAAAGAAAGTTGACTACATGATGCAACCTATATGAAGCCAGTGATTTAATAATGTAGTGAACGGTATTTTTGCGTGTTCTCCCATCTTGTAGATTTTAGGATACAGGTATATGTACTGTGAATTTAGAATTAAGGTACTGTAAACGAATTCAATATTTTTCGCATAAAAAATAATTTTTCGATACTGAAATTTGATTGATACATTTGGAAAGTATTTTGGTGAAAAATTTGTTTTGAAAAGCATCGTCATGTCTCAAATTCTCGTAGAACTGTAATGTGTATAAATGAAAACATGTACAAACATGTAGCTGCAAGACACTTTCAAAACAATTGAGCATTCTTTCAGAAATTCAGCATCTGTAGCAACATCCCTCTATTTTCCTTACAAAATTGAGCAAAGTTTTGAGCAATCTTTCTTGAAGTACCAATTGACTGTCCTGAATTCCTGATTCTGTGTAAAGTGCGTTCCATTTTGGGAAAATGCCGGCGGATTTCACTTCATCTCCCCAGTTCAAATCTAAATTCTGTCGTCAGTGGAAATGAAATACAATTTCGGAGCATTTCATCTGCCTACAGTGCATTGAGCCATTGTTCCAGTGTCCAGTTGTGATTCAGAATTTCAGAATCATGCCTCATTGATATCGTGTACATCCAATTCAGCACAAGAAATCTGCTTTCGAGTTCGCTTTCGCTGGAGAAATGCAATCAGATTGGAAAACTCATCATTAAAATGTGCCTTGGAAATGTGTTGGATTTCACCGTTTACAACAGTTACCTCTCCAGGCGTGAGCGTGTATCATCTGCCAAGAAAATGTAATGTGTTTTCACACCTCATCGTGGCTTGTGCTAAATACAATTATTTGATGTGGAAAAAGCCAAGTATTTTCTGGAGTCGTTGAAGGATGGAAATCGAATCTTCAGTGTTTTGTGATGCTGCACTGGACCCTCGTTGAGATAAACCCCACCCTTGCCTCACCGTGCTCATTTGAAGGAAAACGAAAATTAAAATTTCCAGGATGACAAATGGATCTCTCAAGCAGAACACTGCCCTGGATCCACAAGCTTCGGCTTCAGTTTGCCATCCAATGCCTGCCTGATGCATCAAGTTGCGGCCTCTCGCTTCCCCGCTGATTAGCCACCCTCACAAACCTCACCCCCATCAATTTTAATAAACAATATTGATGCGAGCATAATTGCAATCACGGACCATTACCAAATTGCTTATGCCTTAACTATAATGTTATGGGCACATGGTGATTAAAAGCCCCATCAGAGAGCGAACGTCATGCTGTGTTTTGTCATGAGTTGTAACAGCATCTCCATGTGGGCTTGTGTCTACACACACACCACAGCAGGCCTACATGTACACTGTGCCAGATGAGTGACATAAGCTTAATATGCCGGAGAGATGCAACGCCATCATATCAGCGTTAATTTACTAGCCTACCCGTGCGCACTCAGTGAATAAACAACCATGTCGGGCGATAATTGAGCTTGTTCCCATGGCAACCTGGATGCTGAATAACGCGAGGGATGGATTGCCAGGAATGACATCTTGAAGTGGCGGAAAGCCTTCAAAATTGCTAATGCATGGTGTGCGTCGCCGTTTTCATGTGGAACTGATGTTATTAATACAACAAGTGATTAATGGCCAAGAGAACTTTTACTATAGAAAATTACCACTAGGCCATGTCTTTAGTCACAGAATGTGAAATAATTGCCCAAAGTTGACTTTTTGAAGGAAAAAAATTATTTGAAAAATTTATCTGACACATGGGTTTAAGTTTGGAATACTGGAAATTGCTACTTTGGATGCTTGCTCGATGCCACATGAACCATCCTTGTGCATGGATCTTGGAAATGCAGTTTGCATCATTTTGCAAAGGAGCTTCTACTGCATCCCATGACCGCCTGCTCACACTACCTCCCTTCTACCACGCCGCTGTTGTACCACAACACCCCGACCTACACCCCGACCTACACTGATGCACGTCCAAGGACTTTCCACTGTTAACATCCGCTCGAGATTATCACACTTCAGCTGGGGATCATCGCACTTCAACTTGGAAAAAAATGTGCCTCATAGTTTGTGCCGAGATCCAACGCGATCATCACTTCCCACTTGTGGAGTTTCTTCATTGGCCAACAACGGCCTGCCCTGTGTGAACTTTGTGCAGAGACAATCATCAAGCATCGTAGGAATTGTTGATCAGTTCCTATCCACCTCACGAGATTGAGATCGCCAAGTTGCGTCTGTTGCCATGGAAAATAGGGCAGGGGAAAATCACCCCCTGCCTCTCCGATAATACAAAACGGAGGAGTGAAAAAATGTGAGGTAAGGGCGCTTGAGCCATTTTCAACCCATTTTGTGTCTCCGTTAATTTGCCGCCATCTCACACTTTGTAGTCGGAGAGATTTTTGCCGTCATTTTATTTGTGTTTGTGATCTCTGAGATATTTGTATGAAAACAGATTATTAGTGAATGTGACGTGATCATCAACTGAGTGTCCAGTAGTTTGGTAGCAGCAGCAGGAGACACGGAGAGCCGAATTTCGACACAAATATTGTCTTTGAATGTGCCATTTTGTACCACAGTACTTGCATTCGTCAGCATGTTGTGCCTTCATACTGCTTGTACAGCTATATATTTTCTATATTTGCCTCAATATTTTTTATATGGATGACAAAAGATATACACAGTATGTATATATTACTGAAACAAAAATCTTCAGAGTTTATTTTACGGTTACTGAAATAAGCATCTAATGCAATGAATCACAGATGCCTTAAAATTGTACTTGACAGTGCTACATGTACGTAGATATGCAGTTGATGTATTCATTTGAAGCAGTACTTGTCGACCAAAGATTTTATGTGCAATGTGGATGAAGTGAATGACAAATGTGTTCGCTGTGAATTTTCGGTGCAGCGAGAAAAAAAAAAGTGCAATACAAGTACATGTGTACAGTTACTTGACAAATTGTAGCTGATACGAGATATGTTTGCCACCAAGTTTTGGAAGTTTTCCCCCACCGTGATTCTGTGCTTGTGGTTGACCCATGCGGAATGTGCTGAAACCCTGGAGAAAAAAAAAGTAGAAAAGAAAATGTAAAACCCCACAGCCACAGGGTCTGATGTTTGTGTGCGTATTGTGTTTCACTCTGATCTCGTAGGAACCACCCTTTGTTGTCGCCGTTCATCAGACCGTCATCACACCCAGGATCAAATTTGCAGGAGTGTGCTTATAATTGCCCCATTCTACCGATATTGCTCGTTTTGTGTTGAACGCTGGAAACGTGGAAATGCTACCGGGACTACATTGTTCGTGGAGTTTCGCCCTGTACAGCATTTCAGGAGCCACAAAAGAAAGCAATGAACCTGCAAAGTTTTTAGTGTCTCGTGATGAGAGAAAAAAAAAATCAACTTGGTTTTGAAAATTTCATGAAAAATTTCGTGGGATAGAAAGAAAGCTGCAAGTGTGCAATGAGGAAGGAAGTCGCTGTGTGGATGTTCCAGTTTCGGCATTGCCGCGTGTTGCATGGAGTCGGTGTTAAGTGTTCACGTGCCAACCACCAACAGAACTGCCTGCATTGTGCTGATAACATCAAGCAGTTCAGTGGTTCACACCAAGGAGGAAATGCATCCAAAAATATGTTTAGTGTCGATATCATTTCCCGAGACACACCAAATATGTAGTTTAGAAACTTGCATATTATATTGTGTAGTTTACATACATGTGTATTTTCTCGTCACTCAGCCCTAGAAATAGTTGCTTGTTAAATACCATAGATTAAGTTTTGACAATTTATTAACAGTGTTCTGTATGTTTGCAACACACTTTTTGTGTGGTGTACAACAATGTATGTGAAAAACCCAAGTTGAAAAAAAAAACCAGTCCAATTTCAATCATGCATACATACATGTACATGTACGCTCATGAACAGAATTTCAGATGAAAATATTCAAAAAATTGTAGTTTGTGCCACAGTGGTTGAACTGACATGACAGTGCACATGTGTGTTTTAATCTACTTTATGAATGAGTGTTTTAATCAGTATTTGTAGTTATTGTTGTGTGCATTCATTATGTACAGTACACGTTGTAAATGTTTAGGCTTTGCAAGTCCATTTTACAAAACGTGTCATTCATTTTCCCAGTCTGTTGCAATCCATTGTGCAAGAGCACTTTCACAATCTCCTTTCATCTTGCCTGTGTCATCATAGGTCAAGAAATGACTGGGCAAAATACACACGTGCGTATTTACTGAACCATTCCATGCCAGCACAGACTTGCATGGCACTATGGCAATCATTTCCACTGTAAATGGATTTGGCAATTTGACATTAGTGAACCTAATAATATTTTAGCAAACTTGTAATCACGCCATCACAAGGACCATCACAAGTCTATCAAAAGTCATCCAGTTTCAAGTCTAGTCACGAGCTACATGTACATGTACATGTCCATGTATACAAATGAACTTTGACAAGGCACTTCTCTGTCTATATCTACATGTACATGTACATCTGTTGCTTCTTGTGATTTGACTTGTGATATCTACATTACATCTCAGCCTGGTTATTACTTGGGTCAATATTGGTCAAGACCCCCATTGGTTTGTACACAGTATGCCAGGAGGTGAGATACAAACATTTTGACCATTGGTGACCCTTTAAATAGTAGGAGGGTTAACCTTAACGCCCTAGGCCCTTTTGGCTAGGAACCATCCTCCATCCTGCAAAATCCTCAAATCGCCACCATGTAAACATTGGATTCAGCCTCAATCCTCCAAAATCTTCCGTTATTTGTTGAATTTGTTCAGTGGAGGGGTGACCATTGTCTCAATCCTTCAAAATGGTCCCACAATCACTGTTAATGGTTTGATGAACTGCTGAAGTTTAAGTTTGTGAACTTGGTTTTGTCGTAATATGAATAAGTCAGAAGTTGCAATTAATTTCCTCATTTTCTTGGGCCAAAAATAAACGATTGCTTTGCTTTGATAAATTTCACAATTTACTCGGTGGAACAATAGTGCTTTCTTTAAGAATTCATACACATGTGCACTTATGAAGCTTTTTGGTCCTGCAGATAACTTCATCTTTTTTTTTTTTCTTTTTTTTTTTTGGGGGGGGGGGCAAAACCCAAAATCTCTTGCATTCATTACATTTCTTTCTTTTCTTGCATACATGTATGAAATAAATTTTACACCCATTCTTGAGGGGGATTGTTATGGTCAGATTCAGAAGTTGGATATTTCCTAATCACCATATTTGTCCCAACAAAAACAGTGATTTAAGGATTTCATATTTTCCACGTAAGTTCATTTTGAACATTCAAATTGTTGATTTTCAAAAGTCTGGTTCATGCAAGACAGAAGTTGTCCAAAATCAAAGCCATTTTCGTTTTCCGTGTACTGTATTTTTCTGTAATACACTCATTATAGAAAAAAATACTGGCATTTTAAACTTCAGTTCAAAGTCCCGACCAGATTTGTAATGGTAGTAATTATGAGTTCCATTCAGCATCCGAATTCCACAGAACTACCGGCTAAATTTTGACCTGCAGTTCTCTTGTGTAAATAAAACCACTGATAGTGTAATATTGTGCAAACATACACTGGGTGTGAGAGCCCTACTAGATGTGCTCGTTACTTCTCAAGTTGAAACCACACAGAAAAGATTGTGAATGGAACTCATTGGTGTACAGAACTTTGTCAGCAGTGTAAAGGCCAGTTCATACTACCGGTAAATGTGAAAGCAAGCGCAAACGCAGATTTGTTACGCCACATTAACTATTTGCGCTGCAAATTTGCAAAAGTTGAACGCATTTCAACTTTTATGTTTTATGAGCTCAGATTTGCTCCGCAATTTGCATTCATGTGAGGTATGAGCGGGCCACCCTAACCCTGCCAAACGCAGCAACATGCAACCCAAGTTGTCTGAGTGACAAGCCTGCCAAGTGCAGCAAAGATCCACCGGGTCAAAAGTCTCAAGCCAACCTACCTCAGAGCCTGAACGCAGCAGGATACAACTGCACTGATTCCTAGCTCTCATTGTTTCAGAAATGCCTGTAAATGTGCGGTGGTGTCCATGATAGCTGAATGCATCAAAGAGCACTGGTCTTTTTCCATCTGATGCACTTCGCTGCGTCTGGCAGGGTTTTAAGGTGTACGACATACGTTTTTTGACCAACTAGCATAAAAATGCATGTAGGTGTTCACTGTTTTGAGCATCACTTTATAAACCTTGCTAGAATTATTTCACTGGGATCCTGCTGAATCCAACAATATCAAACAGCCAATGCAGCTTGTAACATCCAACAATATTTTGTGTACATTTATGTTATCAAAAATGTGTACATGTACCTCTCTGAGTGACCCCTGTTTGCTACATGTACATGTATCTCCCATGAAGTGCACTGCAGGAGTGCTAATGTTGCTAGCATCGTGACTTTGGGCGTGATTCCTGGCTACATGGCATATTCAGGTTTATGGCTTCTGACTAGCGCCCCCTGAACAAACTAACAAAGACATACAGTACATGTAGACAAAAAGGGGAACCACCAACATAGAGCTGCATAGCTCAGTTAGTAGAGCACTGGAATGACAATCCGGAGGTCCCAAGTTCAAGCCCTGCTCCATTCAATTTCTTTAACTTCAAGATTTGTTTTGCTGTTTGGTCTTGTTGGATTCCTTTTTTTATTTGTGAGATTTATTCTAGTGTCGTTCTGTACCATTCTTCAATTGCTAGTGTATGAAATTTCTAATGTAATGTTTCGTATACCAATATTAGACTTAACCTAATCAGTGCTTTTAGCCTGGGGGTCTTTCGACAACTTGATGTGAAGTGAAATAAGTACCCAAAGCTCAAGGGACACTTACAAATGTTTTTTTGGTTCAATTACACATTACTGTGAATTTTGCCAAAAACTGTTTTCAATTGCTGGATTCTTTTTCTGAATTGGGACATTTGCTTGAAACTATGACATCATGCAGTATTCATGACATAAGACGGGCATTTGTACCATGTAAATACATGTGTAGTTATTAAATAGTTGAGTTCTCTGTGCAGCTGTAAAAACAAAGAGACTGGAGTCTGAGTGGGCGGACCCCCAAACATTGTGCATATCTAGTACACAGATGTGATCATGTTCAGTACATGTTTTTATGGTATTTTGTGCGTTTTGGAATGTGATATTACAGAATGAAAAAAATCTTTGTCTTTAATAATAATGTGTAGTGAGAAAAGAAACAAGCAGACCTGAAAAAAATGGAAAATAGTCATATCTTGAGTTTATTTTTGTGTGAAATATTACATATTCATAAATAAAGACAGTTTACCCATTCCTATTGGTCGAGAGCCCGTCACGTGGCCTGTCTTAAACAGATGATAAAGACATGGCTAGCTGGTCTCAAACCCTTTTCCAGTGTCACATGAAATTTGGACTCTTAAAAATCCAGTGCCTCTTACCGTTTTATTGGTTGAACGTTCACAATCCTCAGGTAGGCATGCACAATACTACCAGTGAGTCAGTATTTTATAGTCCTAAATTCACAACGCAACGCCCCAGGTGCATTCTGCGCGACATCACGCAGTATGCGCGATGCGCATGCCAATCTCCATAAAAGGAGGTGTTTACATCTTATTCGCGAGCTGGACACTCCATTATTTAGCTAGAGAGGTGTTTCAAAAAATATGAAGTGAACTTGTTGAACAAAATCAGGGTTTTTTGACCGTAAAGTTTTGATTTAATTTTTGGCTCGGGTAATTATCAGCACCCAGACTCCAAGCGGTCTTAAACAGAATGATAAAACCTCCAAAACACATTTATTCCCTTATTAAGGGATTCTGTGATTACATGAGCTACATGTTGTGAACCCCCTCCCCCATTGGTCGTTTGGTACATGTATCATCCATAGTGCTGTGCTGAATATTCAATCACCAACCAGATATCAGAATGTCATTTTTTTGCGATTCAAATTTTCAAAAAAATGTGAGCGATCTCAAAGAGATGAGAAAACGTCCATGATGTTATCCGAACCCTAACCCCCAAGTACTAAGTTCCTCAGGACTACCCTGCTAAATCCAACAGAGTCCAACCGGAGTGTCCTGCTCAATCCACTGTGCCTTATTTTCAGGTGTCTGCGAGATCTAACGGAGTCCAACTTGGCGTTAAAATGCGGTTCAGTTGCCTGCTGAATCCAACATTTTGCATCGGGAATGTACACAAGGGGTTTACTGCTCAATGCAACAGGCTCCATCGGGTATATGATTTACATGTAGTTGGATCCTGTTGGATTCAGCAGGGTTAGGGTTTTAATGCCACACTTTTCTTAAAAGCCATTTTCACATGAGTTGAGAGTTTCCACAAGGAATGTTAATGAGATCAAATTTCTCCTGTTCGGCCTCCTGTTCTTTGTATTATTTCCATGAGCCCTTTGTCATTTTTCAACGAGCGCAGAGTCGTGCATATCCCGATTGGCGGTCACATGTAGCTTGGGTTGACATATATGCTGAACTTGAGCAATGCATTTTGTAATCATGTATGAATATTAAATTATTTGAAAATGCACAGCGCAGGTTATCCATCCGTTCCGACTTCCTTGCGTTTCCCCGTTTTGGCAACAGATTGTGCAAAGAAAACTTGGCAGGAGTGCCATTCACTGTCATTTCAGTCCTTCAATCAAATGTGGCAGGCTGTGAGTCAACAGCCCACGTGGATGGAGTAGAAATAAAAGCTGAAAGGGATAGAATGACATGCTAAAATTCTACCACATTACATTTTTGGTCTCAATAGAATGTAAACTTACATTTACTCGTGTAAACGGCTCATTCTATTTGGTGTTTCCTGGCAGCATGAGCTCTGCTTATCGA